CCTTTAATATATATTAAATATTAAAAGGAATATATATATATTATACACACATATATATACATATATATATATTCTTTATCACTGATCCATTTTTGTCCAAGTCGAGGGCATGACCAAGTTGCTTATGGAAATATCTTATTTGTGGGAAGAAATCTACTCACCCCAGACTTCCAGGACTACATCTAAATGGACTGTAATGTAGCAACAGAATGACCTCAGTATGCCTAGTATATTCAGAAAATTATCTTCAAAGCAGGCCCAAATTTGACTTCTTCTATTTTATCATACAGAATTTCTCTTGTATACATAGTATAAGCTGAGGGACAGAAATCAGGGCAAGACAAAGAGGTAACAAAGGAGTGGGGGACACCATTTTACATGAACTGTGGATGTCTTCTGAATCCGAATATGATTGGGTCCAAATCTTATTACATAATGGATTGTTATTTTATCTAATTTCCTCTCTTTTGTTAAATAATAACATAATTCTTAAAACAGAGAATAGATTTTCTCATATATCTCAATTATTTTCCCTCCCTCTACTCCCTCAAGTACCTTCCCATCTCCCCTCCCATTCAGATCCACTCCCTTTCTTTCTCTCATTAGAAAAAGTATAGCCTCCTAAGAGATAGCAACAAAACATGACAAAATAAAATATACTAAGATGGAGCCAAAGCTATCATATGGAGGTTGGACATGACAACCCAACAGGGAGGGGAAAGAAAATAAGAGCAGGCAGAAGAGACCGAGACCCATTTTTCTCATACTCAGGTTTCTGTAAAAGTACTTAATTAATAGTTGTAATATATATGCAGAGGATCTAGTACAGACGTATGCTCCCCTGTGCTTGCTGCTTCTGTCGTTGTGAGCTCATATGTGCCTTGCTTAGTTGATAAAGAGAGCCTTACAAGCCTCATGTCCTCCATCCACTTGAGCCTCTGATAATTTTTCCTCTTCCTCGTCCATGGGATTCCCTGAGCTCTGAGGGAAAGGATCTGAAAGAAATCTTCAATTTAGACTCTATATTTCTCTGAATATCTGACTGTGGGTCTCTGCACCTATTCCCATCTTCTGCCAGAGGAAGCTTCTCTGATGATGACTGGATAAGGAACTGACCTGTGAATATAGCAGAATACCATTAGGAATCATTTTGGTGAATTTTTTTTTCTTTTTACACCAGTAGTGTTTTACAGTTGGCTCTTTTTTTTTTTTCCCCAGACTCTTTGACTCTTTGAGGGCCCCACCACCCAGCTCCCAAGTAAGTACACAGAAACTTATTCTTAATTATAATGGTCCGATCTTAGCTTGGCTTGTTTCTAGACAAGCTTTTCTTTTTGCCTCTGGCTTTTACGTTTTTCTATTTCTGTATATCTTTTCATTCCTGTATATCTTTTCATATCTGGCTGTGTAGCAGTGTGGCTGACCTCTTCTTTTCTCACTCAACAGACATGAAGGAGTACTCCCCTTACTCTATACCCTCTCTAGCATGAGCTGTCACTTATGATTTTGATCTTAGCCATTCCGACAGATGTAAGATGGAATCTCAAGGTAGTGTTGATTTGTAATTTCCTGATGACTAAGGATGTTAGCTGGATGTTTTGCTGGGTATAGTAGTCTGGTCTGGTATCTGTGGTCTCTTAGAACTTGCAGGACATCTGTCTAAGACCTTCGTGTTTTTAGAGTCTACCTCCATTAAGAAGTCAGGAGAAATTTTATTAGGTCTTTCTTTATATATTAGTTAATTCTATTCCCATGAGTTTTTAGTTCTATCTCTTTGTTCTGTATGTTTAGTGTTTTGATTATTATGTGACAAGGGGACTTTTCTTTTCTGGTTCAATCTATTTTGTATTCTGTATGCTCCTTGAGCCTTTATAGGGATCTCCTTTAGGTTAGGAAAATTTTTTTATATGATTGTATTGAAGACACTTTGGGGGCCTTTGAAATGGGTTTCTTTTCCTTTCTCTATTCCTATTATTCTTGGGGTTGATCTTTTCATAGTGTCCAGATTTCCTTGATGTTTTGTCTCAGGGGTGTTTTAGAATTAACTCTTTCTCTGATTGATGTAATCATTTCTTCTGTCATGTCTTCAATGCCTGAGATTCATTCTTCCATGTGTTGCATTCTGTTGGAGAAGTTTGACGTTATAATTCATGTTTGCATTCCAGAACTTTTCATTTCCAGAATTCCCTCAGTTTGGGTTTTATTTATTGATTCTATTTCCAATTTTAGGCATTGAACAGTTTTATTTATTTCCTTATGCTGTTTGCATATTCCTGGATTTATTTAAGGGATCTATTCATTTCCTCCTTAAGGTTCTCTCATATTCATAAACTATGTTTTAAGGTCTTTTTTGTTATCCTTCAGCTATGCTGAAATATTCAGGGCCTGTTGTGGTAAGATAACTGGATTCTAGTGTAGACATATTGCCCTGACTATTGTTGATTTGTTTTATGCTGGAGTCTTGACATCTGAATTTTGGATGATTAAATATGTACGTGCTGACATCTGGACTTGTCTCTGTTGGGCATGTGTTTCTGCTTGGTACTGTTTCCTCTCTGTATATTCAGAGAGTTGGTGACTATTTTACTTTTTTTCCTAGCCTGTTCAGCTGATGTGTTCACAGAGAATTCCTATCGGTGCTGGATGCTAGGTAAGTAGAGTGAGTTGGAGAAACAAAAGTTGGAGGGGAAGGTCCTTGTGATACCTAGGGTATGGAGTCGGAGAGGAAAAGGAGATAACAGCAGGTTACAACTAAAGAGTTGGGGATGGAAATGAGGATCAGGGATTGGATCTCAGGAACAATGTGAGAGGTGCGGGTTTGTCCTGCCTTCATTCTACTTGATGCCCTAATGGAGTTGAAGTCTGAGTCAAAGCAGTAAGTGCAAGGAAGGAAGTTAAATGCAAAGAGGGGCCAGGGAGTGGCTAGAGAAGTCCTTGACTGATGTTCTCTAACCCTGGGGTTGAGACTGTGGAATTGTGTCTGGGGGAATGGAGAGGGAGTGTAGAAGGCCTGTGAGCAGCCTATCTGGTTTTCTTACAGATGTGTCCTGTGTCCTTTGTTCCACTCTTAAGCCTTCTTTGTACAAAGTATTCTTGACTTACAGAGCTTCACTAACTTATCAGGGGCTCAGATACATCATGACTTGTCATTTTACCTCAAAAGTGAAGGGGATCAAAAAGAATTGCTCCAGTCTTTATATTATTGTTATCTTTGTTATTAACAACTTTAATTTATACTATTATTAATAAATTTACTAAACAATATCTTGGTTTTAGTTCATATATTTTGGGATGACACTCGAACCATAAAAAAGATAAGGAGTAAATGACGATGACATTTATTATGCAAAAACATAATATTTCTGTAACAAGAATTCAATTCATGAACAATTCTAAAATGCATCCAGTTTTGATTTATAAAGAGCAGTTTTAACATAAGTGTATCAGGACTCCTTGGAAAATAGCTGATGTGGTAATAGACAAAGGAAACTTTTAATCCTGGAACCTCTTCTTGTGACCAAAAGTGAGTAGAAATGAGAGTAACTCAAAAAGACAAAGGGATATGCTGCAGTAGTTCCCAGTTGTTTAAAACTGAAATAATTGAACATGCTGATAAATAACTCTATCATAAGAGTACTGAAAAAAAGCATACAATAAAAAATCATGAATCTAGCTGGTATAATAAAATTAGATTAAAAAAAATGGTTAGTATTCCAGGTAGCCTTTGACTCACACAATTCTTGACTAATTTTTGCTTTTAATATCCTAGAATAATGGTAGGATGTGTTGTGGATGGCAATATATTAAGAAAGAAAAGAGGTACATTGAATAGCCAGGTCTTGTTTCTGCCCATTTAAAAATTATAACAATTAGGAAGGAACTGCATGGCCCCAACTGGGCTGTTCCTTTGGGAGACAGTCTATAGTTAAACATAACATGCAGGCTATCTAATTAATTGAAATGTTTTATTGTGAAAAAAAGGTAACACACACTGAAGACTTTTTTTAGGGAGTGGCTAGTCTAATATTCAATTCTGTGTCTTATTCAAAAAAAATCTAAGAAAAATAAATGACATAATTTCCACTTCTAACTTACTGAAGAAAGATCCATTTCTTGCTCAAGATCAATAATTTGTAATAGGCCATTGCTGCTTTCAGTTCTCCGTCTTAAGTCCTATCGCAGGAAGAATGAGAGTCTAGCTATGTCAAAGGCTAAGAGTGTATTTATAAGTTACAAACCTTTGCAATTATTATGCAGCTTTTCAAATGTTGACCTTCATTCTATGAGGTCCCTCCTTGTAATAGAACTCTACATACTCCACCTGTTCTGATAAACTGTGTCCCACTGATCAAAATCTTCCGTGAAACCACAGATTATTATTCTGTAAAGTTGCCTTCTGTTTGAGTGCAATTTTATTAATATCACTTCCCCTTCTTGAGCTAAACTTATTCTCCCACTTCTGCAAATGCACTTTTATGATTATATCTTTATATTTTATTATTCTTCTAATTGTTTTTTTTAACTTGGAAAAGTTCTCATATTTTATCATGAAGAAAGGTTTCCCTGAGGCTCAGTTTTAATATATGAGCTACATAACACTGCTTACTATTTAGCACATGCTAAATGGAAAAAGCCTAAAATATACCATAAAGTTTGGTGAGAGACACTGACTTATATAAAAAGAAAGCCTACATGTACGGGAAAAGAACATTACAGATTTTTTTAAAGATAAGTAGTTACTAATCATCCTCTCAACAAAAAAGCCTTTGAAGTCTTCTATTGATAATTATCTACTGAAACCTCCTTCCACTAATGGTCCATTTACAAGGAAATAATGTGGAAAAAGTACTTCAGACATTCATCACCTGGGTATGGCAATTTACCTGGGTGCCTATAATAAATTCAGTACTATTTCGGCCAGCAAAGAAAATGTTAATGGGATAAGACCTTTCTCATTTTCCTGAAGGGGCATTTTTGCTTCGAATATGTTTTAGAAAAGCACTAGAAATAAATTTTCATAGTCCTGCATACTGAGCTCAGTGAGCAGGTGCTTTTGAGCGCCATCTTAGATGAAAATAACTGGAAACAAATCTTTTATAAGTGTCTTACATAACTGATAACTCATAAGGTTTACATTTCTGAAATGTTGTTCCTGAGAAAATGAAGGACTTCAGGGAAACTGAGAACATATTTATTTTCTCACAGTCATAGAATAGGTTGTTGTCTTTCGTTTCTGCTGTAAACCTTCATCTTTTCTTTCTCTACTAGACAGACTCAAAACCGGCATAAATAACTCAGTTGGGAAAGTTCTTTCCTTGCAAGTACAAAGATACAAGTGTGTATCCCAGAACCCACGTGAAAAGAATTAAATGTGGTGGCACACCCGTATAATGCCAGTGCTAGGGAAGTAGAGATGAATATATTCGGGTGGATGGGTTGCAGGCGGGGAGGCATCTGCTTAGACCAGCCCTGTGAGTGAGTTATATGCCAATGAGAAACTTTATATCAAAAACAAGTTTCATAGTTCCTGAAGGCTTATACCCAAAGCTGAACTCTGGCTGATACACATGTGTGCCTGAACACAGAACACACATAAACATTCACAGACACATATGCACACATAAGAAAAATGATGGGCACCTCCTGAAGAAGTCTGTGGGCAGCAGCTCACTGGAGGGATTAGTCTGTGCTGACGTCATGGAGATGCACATGGACAGAGTGTAGAAAACAGGCAGGGGGAGAAGAGATACTGTGGGAGAGATGAGGAACTAAATACAGGGGAACTGAAAAAGCTTAGAGCCCTTAGAGACAACATGGAAAAATTCTCAAGATGAGTAGAGAAGGTGATTCCATGGGCAATAAGGAAGCAGAGCCACCTCCAAAGGGTTCTAACAGGTGCATAGATGTCCATGCCAAAAGATGGCAAAATAGAAGCAGGGCTTCTGGTTCTGTGATAAGACAAGAGCTGAGAAAGTGAGGATGCTGAGAGCTATCAGAAACACAAAATATGAAAGAGTTATTTCTCTGTTTATTAGGACAGCTTTGTGAATTATCATACAATCCCAAGGATGTGAGAATTTACTCCCATTTCTGACTACCAAAAGCTATGGCATAACTCATACATGCTGGCAATTAATATTTACAATGTTCCTACATATTTATAATCATAAACAATTACCAGTTTTTTCTACTATGGACTGAATGCTTATATCCTACAGAAAAAAAAACAGGTACTAAAATTTAATCTCCAGTGTGACAGCTTGTGGGGCTGGGGCCTTTGGGAGGAGGTGATGGGAGTCACATGATAAACCTTTTATGGATATAGTTAGTTCCTTAACAAAAGGCATCCCACAAACTTCTTTCCCCTGGTTCCATGTGATGACACGGCAAGAAACCAAACACCCACAAGCCAGAATGCTGGCACTTACCTGTTACCATATCCAAAGGTTCTCTAGTCTTAAACTCAGCTTCAAAGATAGTGGGACAATAAAATTATATTTTCTATGGGAAATTCTAGAGCTACCTAAATGGACTAAAACTGAAATACATACCCACATACTTACCATGATTGTTTCTATTGTCTATAATTTTCTTCAACCTATTTTCTAAAACTTTTACAAGCCCCATTCCTAAACACACATGCACATGTGAACCCACAGACTGCTTTCTTTCTCCCTCTCATGTGTGTGGTCTGCTCTATTCATTTTCCTGCAAAGCAGTGGGCCTGAGCCAGCGGCTTTAATATGGGCTTTTTGTCTTCTATTTTAAAGTAAGTGTGTGCCCTGCCAAGGATTCCTTCCTCCTATGAATACTCCTGTCTTAAGAAACCAAATTAGAAAACACTATCCTGAGTGAGGTAACACCAACCCCCCCCAAAATGAATATGGTATGTACTCACTCATAAGTGGATACTAGCTATAAACAAAGGACATTGAGCTATAGTTCTTGATCCTAGAGAAGCTGAGTAATAAAGTTCACCCAAAGAAAACCATATATAGACCTACTGGAAATTGGGAACTGACAAGATCTCCTGACAAATTTGGGAGCATAGGGGCAGAAGGTAGAAGGAAGGGGGAAAGAGGAAAAGGAGCATAGAAAAAGAGGGTTGAGGAGGACCTGAGGGAATGGTATAGTCAAGATGGAAGAAGGACAGATATGAGAGCAAGGAAAAACATATCTCTATTGAGCGAGCCAGGATGGGGTTAGCAAGAAACCTGGCTCTAGAGAAATTTCCAAAAATCCACAAGGATGACCCCAGACCCTAGGCAATAGAGAAGAGGGTGCCCAAACTGGCCTTGCCCTGTAGTCAGACTGATGATTATCTTAAACATCAGTACAGAACCTTCATCCAACAAGAGATGGAAACAGAGGCAGAAACCCGCATCAGAGCACCGGCCTGAGCTGCCAAGGTCCAGTTGAAGAGTAGAAGGAATGAGAATATGAGCAAAGAGGTCAAGAACATAAATGGTTCATCCACTAAAACAGTTTACCTGAGCTAACAGAAACTCTCCAACTCCAGCTGGACTAAAAAGGAACAAGCATAGGACAAAACTAGTCCCTCTGAATGTGGCTGACAGCTGTACGGCTGGGGCAGACTGAAAGGCCACTGGCAGTGGCACTGGGATTTATGTCTAATGCATATACTGGCTTTTTGGGATCCTATTCTCTTTGTATGTATACTTTGCTCAGCCTAGATGTAGTAAGAAGGGCCTTGGACTTTCCACAAAACAAAGTGACTTACCCTCTCTTAGGATTAGAGGGAGGAGGGGTAGGAGGGTGTGTGGAGGGAATGGGATAAAGGGGGGGAAGATGGGAATTTGGATTGGTATTATTTTTTTTAAAAAAAATCTAATAAAAAACATAAAAATAAAAATAAAATGTAGCAAATGTTTCCCCACCTAAGGCAGGAGAAGATACTTTATAGTTATATGGTCAATAGGGTCAATGTGACAGGTAATTTTTTTAATAAAACTAAAACTATATTTATTAAAAAAAATTTAAAAAAAGAAACTAAATCCTTTATTGTAACATGAAGGAAAGAAGAAAAACTCTCAATAGAAGCAATTTCTCCTGGATGGTGGTGCGGGGCGGGGGAGGGGGGGATGAGCTTTGTTCTGTGTGACCCCAGTTAGGGAATCTGGCTTCCCTTCAAATAGAAACTTTGTTTTACATTTTTGACTCAGGTGTTTTCCCAGAGTTCTTTGTGGATACATGAATGCTTAAGAGTGCAGCTAACAGTTCTAGGGAAAGTACACTAGATGTAGTTAATAATGGCAATCCACAGGGGCTGGAGAGATGGCTCAGTGGTTAAGACCACTGGCAGCTCTTCTAGAGGGCTGGAGTTCAACACCCAGCACCTACATGGTAGCTCCCAACTGTCTAAACTCCAATTCCAGGGTATCTGACCCCTGATACAGACATACATTCATGAGAAATATAAATGCCCCTTCAAAATAAATAAACCTTGAATAATAATGGCTATCCATGAACTGCTCTGTATGATGATATTGCTAGTTTCAGAAATACCACGTCTCATTCTAGGATGCGGGTTAAGAATCCTTATTGAAAATGGTTATTCTCACCTGCCTGTGGATGGGGAACCCCGTGGAGCTCCTTAGGGTTTGATGAGCAAATGAATTGCCAGTGGAGCATTGGCAACAGCCTGCTTAGGATTCCTAAAGTACCAAGAAGACAAGCCCAAGATCCTTGCCTTTGTAACATGAGGGCTGGCTGTGGGGATTTCTGTCCTGTCCGGTTCCCACGGCTGGCAAGTCCCAAAGAAAATCACACAGAGAGCCTACATTAGGTTATAAATTGATTGGCCCATTAGCTCAGGCTTTGTATTAGCTCCTTTAATGTATATTAACCCATTATTCTTATCTATGTTAGCCACATGGGTCGGTACCGTTTTTCAGCCAGGCAGATTACATCTCTCTTCTTTGGTGATCTGGGCTGGACTGGGAGGAATGGGCTTCCTCCTTCCTAGCCTTCTCCTGTTCTCATTGCCCCGCCTCTACTTCCTGTCTGGTTGACCCGCCTATACTTCCTGCCTGGCCAATCAGCATTTATTTAAAACATGATTGACAGAATACAGACAATTCTCCTGCACGATGCCTTTTACTGTAGTATCAGCAGAGTAGAAAGGTGTGAGGAGAACATTCATCAGTAAAGAGCAGAGTGGCATCATCTCCCATCCTAACATTATTTTCTAAGTCATTCTTAGTATATGTTATACAATCCCTTTTATTTCTAAAACGTTCTTTTTTTATTTCTGAGACAAAACAGGAAAAGGATCTCATTCACTCATTAGTAAACCTGTATTCATGTAAATATGTAATGTTTATGTGAAATTTGTCTCTAAAATATACATTTCTACAGTACATAGTACAGCAAATATAAAGATTTGAAAACTTCTTTACATGTAGAATATTCTTTCAAAGCCATTTTGCAAAAATGAAGGCAGGACAGATAAGTGGAATAGTACCAGAAAGAGAACTGTGGCTTTTCCTTTAATCTTGAATAACCAAATTATA